TTGCTATTGCTATTGCTATTGCTTGCTAGATCCCCAAAAGTAAGTGTCCTGGCGTGGGAGGTTGTGGGGGAAGAAATTGTGGGGAGCCTGAGGCCCAAAGGGAGCTTCTGAGGGAGGGGGGAATCCCCTCCTCAAAAGCTCCATTTCTGCTGGCAACGTTCAGGATGAATGTTTCAGAGAGATTGCGGTTGTTCATAAGGGAGAACAACTGCTGTGGTGCTGCAAGATTCATAGTTTTTGGACTTGTTTGCAAACGCTAGGGGGCCCTTATCACAAAACTTTGAACGTTCGCTAAGGGAACACTTGTAACCTGAAGATTACCTGTACTTTTCTTTATTGCAGGTATCAAAGCGTCATTAGATTCCATAAATGTTTTTCTGTCCAAGGCAAAAATAATGTAGAAAAGTTAAAATTGTCATGACCTAGAGCCATCCTATCTCCCTCCCTCCCTCCCTCCCTCCTTCTTTCTTTCTTTCTTTCTTTCTTGTCCTGAATGAATGAAAGAGATCAGCTGCCACAGGGTCATGCATGGTACTCTGTACTCTGCAGCTTGTGATCACGTAGAGGCTGGGGCACAAGCTAAGGGCATGTACCTGTTGCCCTTTGCACCTTCCATTTAGTATTTTTTACTACCCGTTTAGTATTTCACATTTGGTCTCATTTGAACAATCATTTGTACGATCCCGGAATGAAAGAAACGAATAGCGATATAGAGCAGAGATCAAAGATAGGAAGACCTTTCCCCCCACTGCACAGCTGAACTCTCAGCTATGCACCATTGCAAAATCAGTCAGAAGAGTTTTCTTGTCTGCAAATACATTTTTTTGCCTGCTTTGGAGTTCTCATTTCTTCTCTGGGTAGCCATGTTGAGGCTGGCATGTTGTCCAGCACTTTCCTTTTGTGGGGTGACAAGAAACTGTAAGGAATTCCCAATTCAAGAAATACATCCAGAGAGATATAGGTAGTCCTCAACTTACCACAGTTCATTTAGTGACAGTTCGAAGTTACAACGGCATGGAAAAAAAGTAAAATGGCTGTTTTTCATACTTATGACCATTGCAGCATCCCAAGGTCATGTGATCCAAATCAGACGCTTGGCAGCTGACTCACATTTATGACGGTTGCAGTGTCCCGGAGTCATGTGATACCCTTTTGCGGCCTTCTGACAAGGGGGAAGACAGATTCACTTAACAACTGTGTGGCTAACCTAACTATTGCAGTGATTGACTTAACAACTGTGGCAAAGAAAGGTCATAAAATGGAGCAAAACT